CAGGAGCCCGATGTGGGACTCGATCCCAGGACCCTGGGATCATGACCTGAGCCGAAGGCAGACGCTTAACCATCTGAGCCACCCAGGCGCCCTGTACCTGAACTTTCAACTAACCAAATTTAAATCTCACTAGTATTAAAAAAACACTTGAGTGAACTAAACTGGAAAAATGGACTCTGCTTTATAATACTGATTTTTTTTTTATATGTCTAGCTGCTGAGTAAAATACATAATTGGTCTTGTGGCAGAAAAAAAACAAAAACCAAAAAAACCCACAAAAAAATCCCAGCATGTTTAAGGTTTAAGGTTCAAGTTCGTTACCCTTCACTAGTCCTGTGATTACAGGCAAGTCCAACAAATACCCTCTTTGGGGCTATATTTACTCTACATGGAAATTATAATAAAATGGGAGTTTTAGTAACAGTCCTTCTTACAATACAGGGTTATTGAGAGAATCAACTGAAATAATGTCTGTAAAATCAAATTATAAAAACACCACACAAACATAAGGAGTTTTTATGATTTTAAAATCCAGTTTTGGGTTAAAAATCCTGAAACCATATCTCACTTAGAACTGTAGAGAATGGGTTGAGAAAGGTTATCCTGAAGAAACGTTTAAAATTGCCTTTGAACTGAGTGCCTTCCACCTTGCCCTGCAAGACTCAACATTTATATGATTTTGAAAAATTTCTATCTGCCACAGAACAAATTTTTCTAAAAAAGCAACCAGTTTTGTATTCAACTAAGTCTATAGTTTCAGACATTTTGTTATATAGTTCTTATCTATAAATTACTGTGAATTTAGAAAGCAAATGACTAGGTTTATTCATGCTATATAAGGAAACTCATAGTGGAGAGATATATTTCTAAAGATTTTAGACAGCAGACATGATCAAGCAGCTCTGATTAGAAGAACCGTGAAAGAAACGTACACAAGCTTTAAGAGAATTAGATAAAGTTTGTGAAGAAAGCAATCCAATTAATAAGCAAAGGGAGACTCAGGATACCATAATTAGATGTTCCCTCCTGAGAGAACAAATGCCTCTGAAATGACAGCTGAGGTTAAGTGCCAGGCAGAAACAAAATCACAAGTAAAAGTTTCATAAACCTGCATTAATAGACCGTCTTATTAAGATTTCCTATTAAAGATACTGTATAAGAAAGCTAGCACACCTCTATATAAAGTTCAAAAGCTGACAAAACTAAAGTGTGTAGGGATGTATACTTACTTACGTGATTTCCATAAAAGTCAGGAAGGTGGTTATGTTGGGAGACAGGGGAGGAAAGAGTGTGATTGGAAAGGGCAGTCCTGAGGTGATGGAAACAGTCTTTTTCTTGACCAGAATGGTGGTTACAGGGGTATTTTATAATACAAATATATTATAATTTTATAATATAAATATATTAATTTGTAATTTTATAATTTCTTAAACTTTAAAATTACATTTAACACACCTTTCCATATTTGTATTACAACAAAATACTTTAAAATAAACACATATTAATGACGTTGTTAGGTACTTCCTAACTTCAAAGTAAAACAAGTTATTTCCTAAATGATGTTAACAATATTGAATTAAAAATGATAACTTATCATCATTACTGCTTAGGATAGAAAAATGACAGACCGTTAGGAGTTCGAAAGGTTTCTCTAATGGGTGGAAACCCAAACACCCTATATATCTATTTTGTGAGATAACAGGAAAAAAAAGAACTGTAGGATACAAGCAGAAATAATGTTTTCTTAAAATTAAGGATAAAATTTAATAATCCCAGCACCCTAGCCCACTAGCAATTTTGATTTCTGCAAATTCCATTATTATATAAAATAATATATATTATATAAAAATATATAAGCTATCAGTATATACAAGAAAATATAAACTGTGTACATACATATAACAGTAGATACAGTATATAAA